GCAGTTTTTCCCATAACTGGAATTTTAAACAGTTACAGGTTATGTTTTAAGACAGAAAACTAAAAACTAAAAATTGCTGTGCTATTGTCCACATGCCGATTACATATTTATTGGGTTATAGCATGCTCCTAACCTAAGTCTATGGTATACTCTATTACAGTCCTCTCATATACTAAAATAGTCAAGAGGCCCAGTTGGGTCAGAGCACAGGCCCTATCTCAGTGCTGGGTCCTAGCATTACCCAGCATTATTTGTTGACTTGGTCTGACTCATTTCACTAAAGCCTCATCATCTTTCCAGGCTGACTCTCATCCCTTGCTTTCCTCCTGGAAGATAACACTTTCTAACCTGCTTATTCTAGTTAATACATCATTTTTCTCTGAATGTCTTTCCTCGTTAAAAGTAAACTCGAGCCGGGCTCAGTGGCTCAGCCTGTAATCTCGCGCCTTAGGAAGCTGAGGTGAGTGGATTGCCTGAGCCCGCGGGTTCAAGACCCACCTGGGCAACTTGGTGAGACCTCATCTCTACAATAAATAAAAAAATTAGCCGAGCATGGTAGTGCATGCCTGTAATTCCAGCTACTTGGAAGGCTGAGGCGGAAGGATCGCCGGAGCCCAGCAGGCCGAGGCTGCGGTGCATTAAAGGTATGAGTGCAGTGATGATACATGTTTTGTGCCAAAAATAGGTAGGTCCCCCATACTAGTGTTAGATGAGTGGCCACCACACCTAGACGTAATTTTGAGTATGCTGTAAGGCCTCTCATAGCTTCCTTGTCTCAGGATAGGCTGTTCCTTGGGGATTTGGGGCATACCATGTGATGATGCCTACTGCTTTAATACTCTAAGAAATCCATTTTTTCCTATTCTATTGAAGAGCTTTTCACCCATAAAAACAAGGATGATCTGTATTTCTGCATATAACACACTGTGATACAGTGACCGCGCTGCTGCTATATTTTGCTCATTATAACCAGGAACTTTTCTTTTTTTTTTTTTGAGTTGGCGTCTCACTCTGTCGCCCAGACTGGAGTGCAGTGGCCGCTCCCGGCCACCGCAGCCTCTACCTGCTGGGCTCTGGCGATCCTTCCGCTTCAGCCTTCCAAGTAGCTGGAACCACAGGCTCGCACTACCACACCCGGCTAATTTTTTTTATTTATTGTAGAGATGAGGTCTCCCCAAGTTGCCCAGGTGGGTCTCGAACCCGCGGGCTCAGGCATTCCACTCACCTCAGCCTCCCAAGGCACGGGATTACAGGCTGAGCCACCAAGCCCGGCTATAACCAGGAACTTTTCTAAGCATTTGACGATCAAGTTTTATAGTTATATAGTGATTAGCCTGTCAGGAGTTGTAAACCACATCATCCAAAGGCCCAGTAAGAAGTAACCCCTGGAAATTCCTTCCCAAGTAGTATCCTTTGGAATAGACATTACCTGAACACCAAGAGTCAAAAGACTCTGACACATTGCTAGAGTTCCATTCAATCATCATCATTGCATCATAGGACCAGATCCCAGAGCAGTGCCACTCAGGTTTGCAGGCTGCCATTTGGCCTTCCCAGGTTCCAAAAGCAGGAATCACCTTGGCAAATGTACAGCTTCCCCTTTTCAGGCATCTGGTATAATCCTGCTAAGATCACCAGGCACGGTGGCTCAAGCCTGTAATCCCAGCGCTTTGGGAGGCAGAGGCGAAAGGATTGCCTGAGTTGAGGGGTTTGAGACCAGCCTGAACAACATGGTGAGACCTTATCTTTACAATAAATCAAAAAATCAGCTGGGCATGGTGGCACATGCCTGTGGTTCCAGCTACTTGGAAGGCTGAGATGGCTAATCGCCTGAGCCTAGCAGGTTGAGGCTGCAGTGGTTATGAGCATACCAGTGCACTCCAGCCTGGGCAACAGAGACTCCGACTAAAAAAAAAAAAGAGAGAGAGAGAGAATTTTATTCTCTTGTTTCTTGTCCCAAGTCTCGCCAGACACCACATCATGTTGGATTTCCCTCATTGCATAACCCATTTATTCAATCCTTTTCCCTCAACTCCTTTCCATCTGCCATTGTTTTTTGTTTTTTGTTTTGAGTTGGAGTCTCACTCTGTCACCCAGGCTAGAGGGCAGTGGCATGCTCCCAGCCACCGCAGCATCCACCGGCTAGGTTCTTGTGATCCTTCTGCCTCAGCCTTCCAAGTAGTCGGAACTACAGGTGTGTGTTACCACACACGGTTAATTTTTGATTTATTGTAGAGATGAGGTCTTGCCAAGTTGCCCGGGTGGGTCTCGAACCCGTAGGCTAAGGCGATCCTCTTGCTTTGGTCTCCCAAAGTGCTGGGATTACAGGCTGAGCCACCGAGCCAGGCCCTGCCATTGATTTTTACCAAAGATTTCCCCCTTTGGAAGGAACGATAGGTTTGGCCACCGTGCTGATCCAGGTTGACAGCGGCAATACTAGCGTAGCAAATGCCTCACCTTCAGTTCACCCCATTCATACAAGGAAGGGCTATCAGGTACAGAACCAGTAGGCTGTCTTGGCCACGGGGCAATACAGCTGCATTCACCGGCAACCCAAACCTCACCGATGGGGTAAAGGCACAACGCACTCCATCAAACCCTTAGGAATTCTGACGTAAAGCCTGGGAGCCATCCGTTTTAAGACCCACACTTAATAATCCTTGTCCTGGGACCACTGTATCAGGTAGGCAAAAAGCAGTTGAGATAATGTGGGAAAAAATTACATATATAATTATATACCAGCAAATTCTCCCACCTCTCTCTTCCCCAGATCGCCCCCCAGAAAATCAGAGGAATCTGTATGTGGAGACCCTTTCCTTGCCCCTCTAATGCTGAGTGTGAGCACGCACTTTTGAAGGTGTATAGGCCAACTCTTCCAACTTTTACCTCCCCCACTTTAGACAACAAATGTTTCAGTTGTCTGTTCCAATGATCTATCAATCCACTACGCTGAGGCTAATACACAACACAATACTTCCACTTGATGTGACTGCGCTTGGCCCGTTGTTGGACACTTTGAGTTGGTTCCAGTGTGTTCCAGTGTGATCTGAAGAAATGTAACTCGGTGGTCCAAACTGGTCAGAACCTTCTATTCCAATATAGCATTTTTAGGATTTGAGACATTTGAGACAACCAGGTATACAAAGCTACTTTGATATGCCCCTGAAATTTCCATCGGTTTATGTCCCATATGGGCATCCCTTTAATAGTCAGTTTTTCACGATCCATCAGCCAGGCCCTCAGATACTGTCCATCAGTCAGTAAAAACCCAAACCTAGGGGCTTTTGCCATTCAAGTCTTCCATCACTGCAAGGAAAGCAACATGTAATTCAGTCCTCTAAGCTGATTTGATCTTCATCAAAGACTCTCCAGCAGTTAGAGTGCAGTAGCCTTCCTAACAAGATACTGTCTGTCTACCCATAAACCAAGCAGCTTTTTGTTAGTCACTTGAGAGCTATTCTCAGGGCTCTTCCTCGGTGGCAAGAGGATCCATCGGGTGCTTCCAAAGCCGGTGCTGGAGGAAAGAGGCTACTTGCTTATGAATACCATGAATACCTCCTTGCATTCCCTGGGCAGCCTGCTTCTGGATAAACCATTTCCATTTGATTGAGGAACCTTCTGGTTACTGCCTTTTTTTTTTTTTGAGTTGGAGTCTCTGTCATCCAAACTGGAGTGTAGTGACACGCTCCTGGCCACCGCAGCCTCCACCTGCTGGGCTCCGGCGATCCTTCCGCCTCAGCCTTCCAAGTAGCTAGAACTACAGGTGCACGCTACCACCTGGCTAATTTTTTGATTTATGGTAGAGATGAGGTCTCACCAAGTTGCCCAGGCAGGTCTCGAACCCGCAGGCTCAGGCAATTCACTCACCTCGGCCTCCCGAAGTGCTGGGATTACAGGCTGAGCCACCAAGTCCGGCCAGTTACTGCCTTTTTTATCAGTGTTTCTCTGACATCACCCAAGACATTAAGGATATTTCAGTTTCCGGGAGTCTTTTGTTCTGCTGTCAGGAAGGCAGTTTCAGCAAACACCAAGAGTGAGCTAGTAATTGTCTCTCAAATGGCATCTATTGTTCCCTGCATCTGGACATTTTCTGCCCCACAATCTCAGCAGTCCCCACTGGGTGCAGCTCAAGGCTTCTGCCATAAGCCCCTCAGATCAGGTCTACACGGGGCTGTTGCACAGAGCTTGAGTTCACACCAGCAGTCCAGCTGCCAACATGTCACTGACTACAGCGCAGATCTCCTTTTGTTCACCAGCTGTTCTATCTATACCATCTCAAGTGAACAACCCGTGTGGGCTCAGGCAATTGTATAGGTCCTCTACTGCACAATGACCCTGCTTGTTCTCTTGACCCTGTATGTCACTCCCACATACAAATGCCCACCACACATACACAGCCCTCATTCAGTTCCAGGGAACATGCCCGGGACAGTCTGGCCCAGACTCCAGCCCTCTCTTCTGCCCTGATGAGGTGGTGGTAGTGGCCTGACCCGTTGGTATCCCTGACTGTCTCTGCAGCCAGATTTACTGCCATGGGGAGCTCCTGCACCAAGTTCAGATGGCCAAGTTCTACGAGGATGACAAGCAATTTGTGGACATGCCACTGTCCACAGCTCCAGGTGGGGCACCTAGAAGTTCATTGTCTCCAGAACCTTCTCCCCAAAGAAGGCAGGGCACGAGACCAGGCAGAGTGGCCCCTCTGCTCAGGGAGGGGCTTGTGGCACCCTGCTGACCCCTCCCTGCTGCCTGCTGTCCAGATCAGGTCCTGCAAAGCTTCCGTGAGCTCTTGGCCCAGGCCCCAAACCAAAGCATCCCCCGGCCGCAGTTGCAGCTGTTTGTCCAAGAGCACTTCCAGGCCAAGGGGCAGGAGCTGCAGCCCTGGAGCCCTGGAGACTGGAAAGACAGGTATGACTCTGGACAGGGGACCAGAGAAGGTCCCTCCAACAGGGCTGCCTCCCTAAACCTTGTGGGGTCGTTGCTCTTCCAGTCCCCAGTTCCTGCAGAAGATCTCAGATGCCAAACTGCGGACGTGGGCGGGGCAGCTGCATCAGCTCTGGAAGAAGCTGGGGAGGAAGGTATCAATGTCCTGGACCTGCCTAAGGCCAAGGGGCTGGGGCTGGGAGAACAGTGTGCCTGTATGGGGCTCACAGTGCCCCTAGAACACAGATCAGTCCTTTCCTAAGAACACAGCCCCCTACCTCCTGAGTCCCCAAATTAAAGCCATCTCAGAAATAATTTCTGAGGTGAAAAGGGCAATTCTAATACTTCTAATTCCTTCCCTCCTCCAGGAAGTCTCCCCAGCCTCCCCCCAGGCAAACCTAGCCTGTCCTGCCACCTCCAGGTTGCCCAGCATAGGCTCTTGCACCACCTGGTAGATGTTCCCTCCCCTGCTGGGCTCTCTCCTTCCCTGAGCCCTGGGGCCAGGTTTCTGTCTCAGGGGTAATAACTGTGTGTGGCCAGGCCTTGGGATCAGCACAGTCCTGAGCTACTTTCTCTCCTTGCTCTGAAGCTCAAGCAGGGCAGTGGCTGCCCAGGACCATCTGGGCTCTGTCCTCTTGCTCAGCCCCGCTGTGTCCCCGAGGGCAGCTCAGGGCTCCTTTGCTAGCTCAGCTGCCCTCCTCACCCAGTCCTTAGGGGCATCTGGGCCCCAGTGGAATGAACCCGAGCCCATTCTGCTTCTCCTCAAAATAGCTGAGACAGGATGACCCTTTCCCACTGGCACTCTATAGAAAGAGCGGGAAAGAACAGAAAACATACCCAACACACACCAAGTCTCCACTCTGGTTCTGCCGTGGCTCTTCCCTGACCACATTCAGCCATATTCACCTCACCTGGGGAAAGGGTTGTGGTTTTAGCCCTACCTGGAGCAGAAAATAGGGGCGACTGAGCTAATCCTCTGGGCCTGGCTGGTGGTGGTCGCAGGGTTGTGGGGGCAGAGGGGAGATTGGGAGCCAGCTCCCCCCTCACCCAGCCAGCCCCACCTGAGTCATAGTAATGGCCACTGTCTGGTGGACTCCTGCCCAGTGCCTGAGTGGTGGAGGCTTCTCATACCTTCAAGTTGATCTCAGGACTCCAGAGGCTGGCACGTGGGGGATGACGACACCAAGGCTCCCAGTGGCCAGGCCTTGACCACCTGGCAGAGCAGAGCAGGACCAGAATACAAGCCCAGCTGTCTGACTCCAAAGCCCACGGCCACCAGCCTCTGCTGCCTCCCCCTAGTCTTCTGCAGCCTCCACTTCCGTGGGGATCCTAGGCTCCCTTGTGTCCTCTTTCCTGACTTCAGATGAAGCCAGAGGTTCTCAGCCACCCCGAGCGTTTCTCTCTGATCTACTCAGAACACCCCTTCATCGTGCCCGGAGGGCGTTTTCTCGAGTTCTACTACTGGTGAGCACCCAGACCCAAAAAGCCAGGGGGCCCTCAGAGACCAGCTGCAGTGGAGAAACCCAGGGCTGACGTGGTGCCCTGAGAGGGGTGGGATGCATGGGTGTGCAGACAGAGGGAGGCAGAAGGGTGATGCCTGAATTGTCCCTCTCCTGCAGGGACTCCTACTGGGTCATAGAGGGTCTGCTCCTCTCTGAGATGGCCGAGACGGTGAAGGGTATGCTGCAGAACTTCCTGGACCTGGTGAAAACGTAAGGGGGCCAGGCACCTCCAGACCAGTGTGGAGGAGAAGCAGGTGTGCCCCACACCAGTGTTGGGCAGAGGGCATCTCAGCGGGCTTTCCTCTCGGCAGCTATGGGCACATCCCCAATGGTGGGCGCGTGTACTACCTTCAGCGGAGCCAGCCCCCGCTCCTGACCCTCATGATGGATCGTTACCTGGCTTACACCAATGACACTACCTTCCTACAGTGCGTAGCCCTCACCCTGTGCTGCTCTGCAGGCCCACCCACCCCTTACAACTCCCAGGGCCAGGAACGGGGCGGTGTGCCTGGACTGAGGCGATGCCCGGCTCCACCCCAGGGAGAACATCGAGACCCTAGCCTTGGAATTGGACTTCTGGACCAAGAACAGGACCGTCTCTGTGAGCTTGGAGGGAAACAGCTACAGCCTGAATCACTATTATGTCCCTTATGGGGGGCCTAGGTAAGGAACTGCCGAGCTCGCCCCTCAACCTCTTACCTGTTCGCTCTAGTGGGAGTGCCACAGTGCCCCTGAGCAGGAGGGGAAGTGATTTGGCCCGGTCTCTCAGACGGTGATACTGAGAGCTCTTGGTAACTCCAAGCTGTGGGCACAAGGACAATTGAGTCAAGGTGGCTCAGTCTCCTGTTTGAGTACAGAGGGGCTCAGCACCCACCAACGCCAGCTGCCCACCTCTCCTCTTTGCCAGGCCAGAGTCCTACAGCAAAGATGAGGAGTTGGCCAACACCTTGCCAGAAGGTGAGCAAAAGCAGGATAAGAGAGGGCAGGGGCACCAGCAGTGAGTCAGGCTCTGGTCCCCTGTCTCTGGCTGCCTTTTCCTGCAGCCAGGACTGGCTGGGCTCCCTGCTCTGTCCTCACAGGGGACCGGGAAGCTCTCTGGGCCGAGCTCAAGGCGGGGGCCGAGTCTGGCTGGGACTTCTCTTCACGCTGGTTCATCGGCAGCCCAAACCCGAACTTGCTTAGCAGCATCCGAACCAGCAAACTGGTGCCTGTCGACCTGAACGCCTTCCTGTGCCAAGCAGAAGAGCTGATGAGCAACTTCTACTCCCGACTGGGTGAGTACCCGGGGGGAGGGAGTGGAGCAGGGTTGTCTGACTTGGTTTCCTGCCTCAGCCTTGGCAACAGACCTGGAAGTTGGACCCTAGGTGAAGGGCCTTCAGCTGCCCAGCTTGCTCAAACCCCAACCCAGGAAGAACTCTGAATCTCCAGAGCCGCCATCCCACCAGAGCAGAGGCTGTGCCTTTCTCTCCCCAAGGAGGGAAAGAGGCGTGGGCATACTCTAGGGAGCAGTGGAGGCCTGCACTGATATCTGTGTACCAGACAAGAGGGCAATGGAGCCCACCCTAATCTCACTCTTCCTCCCCTTCTCACTGTGAGGACCTCTAGGGCCTGAGAGGGGAACCCCAGTCCACACATCCAAAATCCCTCCACTTCCTTTCCCTCAGACAACTGCCCCTTGGCCTCCTCAGAGCTAGGGGGATCCACATAGTCAGTACCCTTGGGAGGATGGACCTTGGGAACAGGCCAGTGCAGGCCCTGGAAGGGGAGCCCATTTATTCTCTCAGGGAATTCCGGAACCCAGAACCCTGAAATGTGGTGGGCTCCAGGTAGGCATGTCACCTTGGTCCTCAGGATGTCTCAGCTCTTGCAGAGAAACACAAAGGGCGGAGGCCAAAGTAGCGCGATGAAAGGTGTGGGGCCCTAGGGTAAAGCCCCAGTTGCCGGATCTAAAGGCCGTGCTGCCCCAGGGAATGCCTCCCAGGCCACGAAGTACAGAACGTTGCGGGCACAGCGCCTGGCCGCCCTCAAGGCCGTCCTGTGGGATGAGGAGAGCGGTATTTGGTTCGACTATGACCTTGAGAACAAGAAGAAGAACCGGGAGTTTTACCCATCCAACCTCACTCCGCTCTGGGCCGGGTGTTTCTCTGACCCTGGCGTCGTGGACAAGGCTCTGAAGTACCTGGAGGTGAGGGGACAGCAGGTGGGGTCTGGCCCACTTGGGGGCAGGACTGCCCCTCCTGGTTCTGAGCAGGGACCTGGCAGGTGGCAGCCATTCCCTCTTGCTGCGTCCCTTGTCTTAGCCTGTGGGTCCCGCTGGAGCCACCAGGGGGCAGCCGTGAGCCAAGGAGAGAAGGCCCAGGCAGGGGACATCTGGCTTGCTGCAGGGCCCGGCTTCCTGGCTCCCAGTCCAGCCTCACCGTCACAGGAATGTCTGGAACCTTCTAGGACAGCCAGATTCTGACCTACCAGCATGGGATCCCGACCTCTCTCAAGAAGACAGGCCAGCAGTGGGACTTTCCCAATGCCTGGGCCCCCCTGCAGGACTTGGTCATCAGAGGTAGGGAGCAGGGATGGGCTTAGCCCAGGACCTCCTCCCGCAGGGTGTAGAGGGTGGGCTTTCCTGGTACTGGATACTGGAGAGGTGAACAAAGGACATAGGACGCCTTGTCCTTCCTCTCACTCCTCTACTCTCCTGGCCTCCCCCTGACAAACATTTATGTCCACTCCATCCCTCCAGTGGGATCAGCCCTCTGTTCTCCCTCCAAAACACAGGTCCTAGATTGAGGGCAGGTTGGCCCAGGGTTCCAGAAGTAGTTCTTACGGCCCAGGCCTCTTTCCCTCCTTGGGGAGAGTAAGGCACAGCCTCTGCCCTGGTGGGATGGCGGCTCTGGAGATTCAGGGTTCTTCCTGGGTTGGGGTCTAGGCCTGGCCAAGTCACCTTCACCTCGGGCCCAGGAAGTGGCCCTCCAGCTGGCCCAGAATTGGATCCGAACCAACTTTGACGTCTACTCCCAAAAGTCAGCCATGTATGAGAAGGTGAGCTGGCCCTGAGCTGACTCAGTGTCCCATCAGGGCCTCCTCCCCCCGTGGTGAGGTGGGGAATGTCCCGCTTTCCAGACCCGGGACCAGCGCAGCCAAGATAGTGGCGGTGCCCAGTAGCCGTTCTTGGGCACTGCAGGGGCCAGAGCGGCAGGACCCAGGGGCTTCTCCCCAGGGGCTCCCATTGTTTGTGACCCTGGAGCTGGAGTGCTAGGGCTGGGGTAGTGCCTGACCTACAGCCCATCTTCTTGTCCTCAGTATGACATCAGCAATGGTGGACAGCCCGGCGGTGGAGGGGAGTATGAAGTCCAGGTGAGCAGGCCAGGAGCGAGCTGGCCAATGCCTTACAGAGAACTCCAGACTCTGCTGGCCCCAAAATTCACCATGACTCCCCTCTAGGCCTGTGTGCTCACCTGTATGTGGGTCCATGGGGGCCTGTTACTCCTTGGTACCCTTGGGGATAAGCAGGGCCGGAGCCCCTGAGATCCCACACTCCCCAAAAAGGGCCTGGGGTTCCCTCAGAGACCTGGCCTCACTGGCCATGCCTCTCTCCAGGAGGGGTTTGGCTGGACCAATGGAGTGGTCCTGATGCTCTTGGACTGCTACGGTGACCGGCTGACCTCGGGGACCCAGCTGGCTTTCCCGGAGCCCTACTGCCTGGCTGCTGCCCTTCTGCCCAGCTTCCTGCTCAGCCTCCTGCCACGGTGACCGCCCCACAGCCCCATCCACCCTCACCTCCTCACCTGGCCCCGGCTCCTGCCCCATTAAACTCTGCGCCAGCCCCTGCCTCCTGCCTCTCTGTGCCCTCCCACCTCCCAGCCTGTCCTGCTCAAGTGGAGCGGGGCCTGGCTCCCTCCAGGAACCGTGAGTGGGGTGGAGATCCCGCCTTCGGGGAAAGACCCAGCTCTACTACCCCATGGGCTCCACCCCCCATGCCACCCCCGCTACCTCCCCAGGCCTTCCACACACTTACTTAGTCGAAAGGCTTTATTTTTTCTGCTGAAATGCTTACAAATACTGAAAAACACCCAGCCTGGGCCCAGACAACCAAGGGCTCAATGCCAGGAAGGAGGGCTGGGGAGGTGGGCTTAGTGTTAAGGCGTGAAGGGCGAGGCCAGACAGCTGGAGGCCTGGTCCTCCACTCTCCATTTCTATCACCCTTCTGAGGCTGGAGGGTGGGCAGCAGCACCTTGGGGCCCTTCCCCTCCACTGCTTTCTCTCCTGCTCAGGCTTTCCCTCTGAAACACCCAAAAGCCTTCTTTTCTTGTCAGAAACTCCACCCTGTACAGAACCCCAAGGATGGTGCTTCTAGCTTCCTCTCCCGTCCGCATCTCCGCATTGCCTTCGGTTCTCTAGATCCCCTGGCGTCATCCCTTCTGGCTCTAAGCAAGGCACAGTGGAAGGGAGAGGGTTGGCCTGGGGGCCGGAGACACAGGCAGGGGCTGGGAGATGTTCAGTTCCTCCCCTGAGCATGAGATGCCCAACGGCCTGGACTGGAGAGATGATGGCATGTACCCTCAGGTGGCCCACAGCTGAAGCAGTGGGCTGAGCCATGGAGCTGCAGCAGTTAGTATGTAACCATGGCGATGAAGCGGTCACTATGGTAACCGTGGTGTGGGGTCTGCAACAAGGGGATGGGACTGGAACCTCAAGGATGACACTGGAGACCTCTGGCCCTTGAGCCAAGTAATTAAAAGTACAAAGGCAGGGGAAACAATGGGGCAGAGCGGGGTTGAGAGATGGGCCGCCTGAGCTGTCACCCCACCCTGGACGTGGCTCTGCTCAGCCCCCAGGGCCCCTGCAGAGGGGGCTGAGGCAAGAGGGGATCTTTGGCAGATTATGGTACCATAATTTGTCTTTTACAAAAGAGAGAACAGGCTGGGGAGAGCAGGCATCAGGTTGGCGCTTGACCAGTCGATGGCAGGTCCCTGAAGAGATATTGCAAGTTCTGGGCTCCCAGGGGGCAGCAAAGCCCCTTCCCCACTTTTCATCTTCTGGGTGGTTCTTCAAGAGGCCAGAGCCCAGAAACTCATAGGACCGAGCTCCTTACAGAATATGACAAATTCTTGTACAAAAATCCCAGCTGTGCACTGCCCCATGCCCTGCTCCTAGAGAGCCTGAGGCCCGTGTGCGACTGTCTCCAGGGGTGAGCCGGGCAACAGGGGCGGGCACAGGTCCTGGGACCAGCGCAAAGGTCCAGGAGGTCTGCGGCCATCAGTTCATGAACTGAGTGTAGCCCTCGGCCCCTGTGACGATGACATCCATCCAGATGCGCATGGCCTCTGCAGATGGGGCCACCATGTAGTACAGCCGGTCATGGGTCTTCACGCAGAAGGTGAGGGCTGGGTTCGGGCTCTGCCGAGGGAAGAGAGGTACGGCTAAGACAGGGCTCAGGGACATTCTTCCCAGCTGCCTCCCTGCCTGCCCCTTCCCCTCGCAGCCCCCAGGAAGCCTGAAGCTTAGGGCTGAGTCCTAAATAGGCCCAAAGCCTAGTCCAGGATGAAACGTTCCCCTTCTCACACCTCAGTGGTCCTGGGCCTTCTAAGTCCCTTGGACCCTGGCAGGACTATCCCCACCAAGGGGGACACTGTTCCTTGGCACCCCCGGGTTCAAAAGTGAGTATCAAGAGAATCAGACACAAAGGACTGTTCTAGTGAGGACCAGAATTTTCTAAAGCAAAAAGGAGGCAGATGGGAAAAGTTATAAGCAGGATGTTGAGCCCCGGGACCCAGAGGAGCAGAGATCAGGCTGGGGTGGGCATTGGAGGGTTGGCGGGAGGGAGGCTGACTTGCTAATGGGCTCCAGCCTCAAATATTCCGTTTTTCAAGTCCTCCCTATCAACTCCAGTCTCTGGCAGTCCCCTCCATCCCGCTAGCTATCCCTTCTGCATGGCCAGCCCCCTATAGGGAAGCATCCAGTGTCCTATCCAGGGGAAGGAGGAACTCAAGCCCACAGGAGCTTCCTGCTCTTTGCACTTGGCCTTCTGCTCCTCCCTCAGGCCTGGGGGGAAGGGAGAGGGATGGAGGGGAAAGTCAAGGGTCAGGGGCCAATGGGGTGCAGGAGGTGTTAATATCTTGGTTATAGCTAAGTGGAGAGGGGTACCTCAGTCACCATAGTGAAGCGGAAAAACCTCTTCTGGGAAGGGGAGAAGGAGAAAGGAAGAGAAAGTTGACAAAGAGAACAAGGACTGGGTTGAAGCCTCTGCAGAGAGCAGGCTGGAAGCCTTTGCTCCCAGAGGCCCACTAGGCCACCCCTTCCCGGTGGCTGTCCCTCTTGCCCCCTTGGGTGCCCTCCATCACGGACCTTAGCTGCACTGCGCAGGTGGTCATAGTATACTTCCTCGATGGCCTGGAAATAGATGACACCCTTCAGCTTCGTCTCATGCTTGTCTGCAAAGGAAATAAGGGCTGGTTGAAGAGGCTTGTCACATTTTTCATCAAGCTCCATTGATGGAGCTCCATGGCCTGAGTTTCCCCAGCTAGAAAATGGTAATGGTCCTAGTCTCCTGGGACCCAACACGGAGCCCTGAAGATACAAATATTGCTCAGCTTCACTCATAGTTAAAGATAAATGCAGCCGGGCTCGGTGGTTCAGCCTGTAATCCTGCGCTTTGGGAGGCTGAGGTGAGTGGATTGCCTGAGCGCGCGGGTTTGAGACCCGCCTGAGCAACTTGGTGAGACCTCATCTCTACAATAAAAACAAAAATTAGCTGGGCGTGGCAGCACGCGCCTGTAGTTCCAGCTACTTGGAAGGCTGAGGCGGAAGGATCGCTGGAGCCCAACAGGTCGAGGCTGCGGTGGCCGGGAGCGGCCACTGCACTCCAGTCTGGGTGACAGAGTAAGACTCCAACTCAAAAAAAAAAAGATAAATGCAAATCAGAACTTCACTGAGATGCCACTTCTCACCTATCCCAATGATAAAAACCATACAAACCCATCCCAAACAACAAAAAATACACACCACACTTTTTTGGCAAGTGCATGGCAAAATAGGCAGTGTAATGATAGGTGAGAGTACAAGTTGCTGAAACCCTTATAGACAACTTGGCCATGTCTATTAAAACTAGAAAGGCACCAGGCGTGGTGGCTCAAGCCTGTAATCCCAGCACTTTGAGAGACCATGGCGAGAGGACTGCCTGAGCTCAGGGGTTCGAGACCAGCCTGGGCAACTTGGTGAGACCTCGTCTCTACAATACATCAAAAAATAAGCTGGGCATGATGGTATGCACCTGTAGTTCCAGCTACTTGGAAGGTTGAGGTGGAAGGATCACCTAAGCCCAGCAGGTCGAGGCTGCAGTGGCCGTGAGCGTGCCACTTAACTCCAGCCTGGGCAACAGAGCAACACCAACTCAAAAAAAAAACAAACCAAAAAACTAGAAAGGCATTTGTCTTTTGATCCCATGGTTAGATTCATGAGAATTTCTCATACATGTACAAAATAACAAACTTCCAAGATTATTCATTGCAATATTATTTGTAGTCACCAAAGATTGGAAACAACCCAAGTACCCATCAAGTGGAGACTGATTAATTAATTATACTGTACCACATGATGGAATACTATGCAGTTATTAAATAGATACAGAAATATCTGAGGTAGATATAGACTTGGAAAATAAATCTATAAAATATGCCCAGATGTAAATATCTATCTATCTATCTATATATATTTTTTTTATTTTTTTATTTTTTTTATTTTTTGAGTTGGAGTCTCACTCTGTCGCCCAGTGGCTGCTCCCGGCCACCGCAGCCTCGACCTGCTGGGCTCCGACGATCCTTCTGCCTCAGCCTTCAAGTAGCTTGAATTACAGGCATGCGCTACCACGCCCGGCTGATTTTTTGATTTATTGTAGAGATGAGGTCTCGCTGCCTAGGCAGGTCTTGAACCCGCCTCAGCCTATATATAGATATATTTGATGTAGAAAGATCTCTAAGAAACATTAGGAAGTAAATAAGGAATATATTACAGCAGGGCTCGGTGGCTCAGCCTGTAATCCCGCACCTTTGGGAGGCTAAGGTGAGTGGATTGCCTGAGCCTGCGAGTTCGAGACCCGCCTGGGCAGGCGAGACTTCATCTCTACAATAAAG